CAAAATGAAACAAAACAAAGTAGCAACAAAAAACAAGAAGAAATTTTCAGTCTTTTGTACTCATGATTATTCTTAAACTAACTCAAGAATGTGACACTCAAGCTAACAAACTCTAAAATAATTACTATGTTAGATATGAATATACACAGTAATAAAAAACAACTATTAAGCAGTTAATTTTTCTAGTTAAGTATAAAAAGCATAAAGAACACAGAAACATGGCAATTACAGGAATGCCTCCTCTTCTTCTCCTGTTTGCCTGCAGTTACTAAAAAAGATACTGCCCAAGTGACACACGCTTTCATGCTGACTTGCATATACTAGCATTACATGGTAATGAGTATGGCACACAGTACAAGCATATAATATAAACTATATATTAACATTATGAAAATATATTACTATGACTAAAACTTTAAGAGGTGTCAGACAATGAACTGCTGAGCAGATCAACTGAGCCCTCCACTTTCTTCCCATTCTTGCCTGTCCCACCCTATTCTGACAGGACTACCTCTGACAAAATTAACCTTCCCATTTTTTGGTGTTAGTTTTTAGTTATATCAGTCTCATGTGATAAACACAAAGCACAAGGAAATAAAAGAGGATGTAGCTCATGTCTGAGCTGCAGCCTACACTTACGACAACTTGCATGACCACAAAAATCTGAACTTTTGATAGAAATTTATCAGTAAGTTAATATCAACTTTCAAATAACAGATACAAAGCAGAGGCTGAAATGGTTTGCAATACCCATTTTTCATTTTGTTTCCATTTTTTTAATATTTATACACTTTCTTTAACCATTATTATACTCATCTTTATACCAGTTACCTAAAGCAAGTAGCATTTTACAAATAACTAGGCAATTACTAATAGGCACATAAGCAGCAGTAAAAACTGCTACAATATATCTCCCTTTCTTTTCAGTTGTCAAAAGGTTGTATTGTCAAATTGGTACTAAGTCCAGAGTCCTCATATTCTAAACTGATGCTAGTAGCCTGACATAGAGTGTCCAATAACATACTGCAAACCATTTGTGCTTAATTTATCTTATAAAAAGAAAATAAAAACATACCCCTTCATCAGATACACAAGCAAGACGATCTACAAGCTCAGGATTAGCTACCAAGCTTTTTATATATTCCTCACCTACAAAAGCACACACATAAAATTTATGCAAGAGGTGCACCAGATTTAGGTATGAAGAGACTGCTGAGATTGTTTATCTGAGCAATAAATTAAAACATACATGTCACTTTACTTACATGTGTAAGCAGTTATCCCTTCCTCTAGAGCTTTCTCCTTATTAATTCTGTCATTTGTTAAAAAGATAACTTGAGTCTTCTCCTCATCCTCTATTTTCTTCAAGTGCTCACTGTACCATTTTACCGCTACCCGAATGGCTCTGTCATTGCGGTCATTAGAAGTTTCTCCTTTCTTCTGCTCTATGTATGTTTCTCTAAATACATGAACACATAGACATAAATAAATACATAAATGAAACAAAATAAATCTTAAAATCTATCCATACTTACAAAAATTTTTCAGACAAGCAAGACTGTGAGGCCAAAAGAATCACTGCTGTACCGGTTTTTGTATGTGTAATACTCTATAGGCCACTGAAGGTCAGGAGACACACAGGTAAAGAAAAATAGGAAGGAGGAGCTAATTTCTAACTCAACCTTCGCAACTGACAATTGAAGAGAACTGCATTCAAGATGCTATAACTATGGATTCAAGATTCCTAGAACTATGATACTGCATATTGGAAACTGCTTGTGAGGGCAAAAAAAGGCAAATTAATTGCATGTTTATTTCTTAGAGCTTTCTGTCACTAACTAACCAACTTTTTTTTTTTTTTAATTCTGCTACAGACTGAGCTTATTAAGAAAATATTGGAATATTTTTAAAAAGGAATTGGAATGTTTTTAAAAAGGAATATTTTTAAGAAAAAATTGGAATATTTTTAAAAAGGACACTAAAATGGAAAATCAGTATTCTATATCTCAGGGCAAGTTTTGTCTGTAAATCTCACTCATTATTCTAAACACCTTTTCATAATATATATAAGCTTATATTAATTACAGACCACATTCCTGGAACACATAACTATTTCCCAATTGGATTCCTTACAAGTATACAGTTCTATGCACCCCAGCCTAATTTTTTTACCTAGTTCAAATGTTGCAGTTCTGTTTCCCAGTTTCTTTCACCGGCTAGCAGCGCAATTGTTACATCCTATTCCACACCTTACCTATGATGTTCATTGGTGAAAGAATAGAAATGTTTTTCAGGGGTTTGAATCACGTCCCTAATTCGCTTGTATACTGGTATACTCCGATTCCTGACTTCTTGTAAGACTGTCTGTAGCACAATGACATTCTTAATAACAGGATCTTCAAGTATATCAATCTGAGGAACAAAATGGAAATGAATAAAAATTGTTGTTTAATTCTATCCAATAACAGGACTTAAACAGTTCAAATACGATTTTCCAGCCTCTTTGTAACCTGAATTTTGCTGGAATGAAGAGCATGACTTATTCTGATTTTCACCAAATTGAGCCTCAACATGTGCAGTACTCCAATCAAATCTAAGGCCACATGTACACTAGAAATTTAGTTTACATAGGATGGGTTCTTGTAAACTATTACCTTTGTAAACCAAATACAGTTTTACGCAATTTGATTGTAATCCAACATAGTTTAAAGGCTTTCTGGCGTATGTCTTTGTGAACAGTGCAAACCATAAAATAGTTACTGTTACACAGCTAACACCAATATGCCTGTGACATGTGTAGGCTTAAGTTCTCCAAACCCAATCCCACTGTTGCCCTCCAGTTTTCATTTCTACAGATTCAACTCACCAGGAATTCTGTTACCTGTTCTTCACCTTTTCAAAGACCTATCTTTTTGAGGAAATGTGTTTAAAATTTTTCAGCACTTTTCTCTGCCAACTCCTGACAGCCACGACATGCAAAGAGAAGTCGACACATAACATCCATGCAGCCCATCAGGAGAAAAAGATGTGAGCTTCATTTCCTAAGCTTGTGGCAAGGAACTGTACAAACCCATCTCCAAAATGAGACAGAATCATGGAATCACATAATCGTCAGGGTTGGAAGGGACCTCTGGAGATCACCTATCCTAAACCCCCTGCCAAAGCACAAGACAGCAGTAAGGCACTAGAAGGCATGGCTAAAAGAATTGAAATCCATGCCAAACCAAGCTCCTCTTCATCTGATGTTTAAATGACCTAACAGATTAAGAGCCATGTTCCTAGGGCAAGTAATCAAGTATTAGTCTATGCACAAGACGAATTACCAGGCCAAGTCTTACTGTTACAATCATGCTCCAGTTGCTGGGTAAAACCTTTTCCTGCTGTTACCAAGGCTTTCTAATCCTGCTGCTCCAGTTCATGGCAGCGTACCGTGGCACATTCTTAAGAGTGTTCGACATTACGCATATACAAACTTTGCCAACAGACACCAAGAAGTCCGTGGGCAACAGGCTGAAAGCATCCCTCAGTTTGCTGTTTTGGGAAAAAAATTCTTACAACTTTCAGGATGAGCAACAGTTGAAGCATGTGAGTGTTGTGCTCCTCTCCAGAGTAATCCATGTTAGGATTCATGAATTATTTCCAGTCTCCAATGTCAGCACAGGGCTATTCTACTTTCCATGCATTCCAAAGCAATCAAAAAAAAAAAAAACCCACCAAAAAAAACACCAAACAATGAAAATCATCAAGATTGGGAATTCTCCCAGCCTGAAATTTTACTGCCTGCACTGCCCAGGCTCAAGCCTTTGCACAACTAGGAATGGGCTGCAGAATAAAGTTCATCCCATGCTTCCAGGGTTGCACATGGGATGATTCAGCAGCCTCTATTCATTACCTGGAATCAGCATCACAGTATGAAGAACCAAAGCCTACAACAGGTCTGAAAAATGGAATAGGTATTCAGGAAAATGCAGTAACCACCTGAAGATCCTGATGCTGCTTCAGTCTATACACCATTCTAGCTTAACTTTCCATACCTGTATCAGGCTACAAACAGCGAATAAATAAATACTGTTCAGTATTTAAAGGGTGGCTACAAAGAAGATGGAGACTTCCTTTTTACCAGGAGTAAAATAGAAAAGGGTAATGGGTCTAAGTTACTTCTGACAAGATTCTGGTGGGACACATCAGAAAATTTTTCACGATGAGAACGCTCAGCCACTGGAATAATCTCCCCAGGAAAGTGGTGGATTCCCCATGGTTGGAAACTTTTAAGATTTGACTGGACAGAGTGCTGCAACATGCCATCTAGGTCATGCATTGCCAAAAGAGGTTGGACCAGACAATCCTTGAGGTTACTTCCAACCGTAATTCTATGATCCTATGGAACAAGTTCTCTATTCCTACTATTGAGGCATCAAAATACAAAACCGGAATACAGTCTAAGATCAGGCCAGATTCGGCGATGCTGAAAGCCTCCTCCGTGTCATGCAGGGACAGAAAAGCCAAGCCGTTCCGGACACCACTAACAACAGCAAGGCCCGAGCCCGGCGGCGTACTCACTGCTGACGCTATCCACACCTCTCCAGGAGCGATGCCCAGACCCAAGACCTGAGGGGACCCCTCCCACCCAGAAGATTTAACCGAGGCTGAAGCAGAGAGGCGCATGACTAAGCCCAGAGCGGTGCCGGGACCCGAGGCGGGACCCGCGGCTTACCTGGTGAAGCAGGACGTTGGTGTCTGGCAGAAGGTAGTGCGGGCCAGGGCAGAGGCTGCTGGCGGCACCGCCGGGCCGCGCCTCGAGGCTGGGCGCGGGCGCGTCGGGCCGCAACGGGCAGAGGCGGCAGGCGGCGGCGCCGCACGGGATGTCGTCACGCAGGTAGTGCTCGCGCACCACCTTCACGACGGCGCCCGCCCGCGTGCGCTTCACGAACGTCCGCGAGGTCTGCATGGCGCGCGCCGCGGGCAGGAACACCACCCGCCCCCGCCGCTTCCTCCCGGCACGCACCGCGGCAGAGAGCGCGGGAATTGGCGCGCGGCGGCGCCCCGGTCGCCCTGGTGATGGCGTCGCGCAGCCCCGCCTCGGCCGCCCTGAGGGAAGGCGGAAGGGCGCGTCGCGGCCGTCTGAGGTGAGTGAGCGCCCGACCCGGTGTTGGAGCTGCAGGTGCCGAGCAGAACCCTCTTCGCCTGGCGGGTCAGCTTCTTCTCGCTCTTATACACCCTGCTGGCCGTTGTCTTCCGCTGACTTGGGCATTCGGCGTATCCTCCATTGAGCTGCCTCTGCCGTGGGGAAGGAGCAGTGGCCTGGGAGAGCCAGCCCCGGCGGGTTCGGCACCCCTCGCGTTAGCGCGGCACTGCCTTTCCCTGTAGGGCTTTGAACGGCTTGCGTTCGTCTGCGCACCTCTTCGGTAAAAGCCGTGGTCTGTGCCGAGCAGTTGTAAAGTACGTGTGGCTGTTGAGTAAGTTAGCCTGGTAAGCGTACCAGAGCTGGTACTTTAGAGAAGACAAAAGTGGCTATCACTCCATTCTCCTGTATTGTTTTCTGTAGCAAGCTTTGTTAATGCTCGTTATTGGGTGTTCTCTGATACTGTATGTATGGCTTATGGATCTTGTGAAGTTTTGGTGCATGTTCTTCTGAAAGCGTGAATGGCAGGTGTACATCCTGATTTACTTACAGCATCTTACCCGTAAGCTTGATTCACACCGGTATTTAGCTTACTGCAGTCAAACCCCGTGCTAACAATTACTTAAGCGACAGACTCCTTGGGCAACTTCTTGAGCTTAAAATGTTTTTCTTGTGTAAAAAATACATTCATGTGATGCTGGGAAGTTGCTTAGTGGTCTTAACTTTTTAAGTTTTCATAATGCCTTTCACTTAACTGTTTTGATTCTTACAGTTAATTCTTCAGGGGCTCATCTGAAAGTACCACATAAAAAAGCACTGCAAATAGTAGAAGAAAATGTCACTTAAAAGCTCTAAGGAAATGAGGAAAGTAAACATTTCTAGCTCTTTTGAGTCTGAAGATATTAGCTTAGAAACCACAGTACCAACTGATGATATTTCTTCCTCTGAAGAGAGAGAAGGTACTGTTAAAATAACTAAGGAGCTGATTGAACGGAAGGAGTTGCTCCATAATCTTCAGCTAGTTAAAATAGAACTATCTCAGAAAAACTTGATGATTGACAACCTGAAAGTAGAATATCTGACCAAGGTAAGAAATGTTGTTCTTTTTGTTGTATAATCTTTTCTTGTTTCTGGTGCTCTTGGAGTATGATAGAAACTTATATTCTGCCAAAAAATTCTGTGAATTGCATGCTGAAAGCCTGCTTAGTTGTTTTTGGAAGGGATTTTTGTGTTTTCTTTGTTGTTTTTTTTTTTGAGAAAAGAAGGAAACAAAGATACGGAAAACTTAGCTGACTGAGCAAGTAAATTCAACATTTCAAATGAATGAGGTGGGATTTAATTAGGTTTTTCTTTTCTAAAAACAGAAGAAAAAGACTTGTTTTCTTTCAGAAATGAAGAATAATTTTGTCACTGATAAAAGCAGCTTAATAGGGCTTTTCTACTTTGGAATAGTAGGAACAGTAATCTGAATACTATTTGATGATCTGTTAATCAGGATGTGGCTAGAATATGCCAACATCCTAATAGGAGGGGATTTTATTGTGTACAGTTGCCACTAAAATGCATGAAACTAAGAAAGGTTGTTAAAGCTTTGCCACACCTGTGTGCAGTCCACATTTACGGCCTACTAAATATTAATTGTGGCTTTCACAGGCTTGCTGCTTTGTATTTAAGCCTGGTTTGAAGTTAGTTGAACAAGTAGCTATTTGGCTGAAAACAATAAGGTTTAGAGCTAAGTCTTTTTTTACTTTTAGTTCATTAGGGCAAAATCTGTATTGTATTTATGAAACTTATTATTTGGCATATTTGGAGGTCTTGTCAGACAGTCATTGCATTTCCTACGGCATTGGCTCTCCAGCTTTTTGTACAGTTGTTGGTTTTTTTTTAATTACCAAAGTAAGCTCCAGTCTTTGTTTTATACTTACATTCTTTCTATTTAGATTGAAGAGCTAGAAGAGAAACTTAATGATGCAGTCCATCAAAAGAAGCTGTTGTCTTTACGACTGGATAGTCAGCTGGCATTACAGCAAGAAGATTCCAGGTACAATGGGAGTAAAACTAAGAACTTCATCTTTAATAATTTATTAATATGAATTTTAATTAATTCATTGACAGTTAATGGAAGCTAATGATTATGAATTGCAGGAATAGGATTTCTTTTGCATTCTAAAAATGGAATTTGTGTGTTTCATTTACATATACATACATTTGAATTCAGCTTTCACTTGCTGAAGTTTTATTGTTACCTGGATTCAAAACTGAATAAGAACTGGAGTAAGAGCATTCTTAAAACTAGTAAAGAGTAAAAGGAGTAGGTAGAGGTGGCAGATTTTGCATCAAATTAAACAGAATTTTGAATAACTCTGCCGCCTTGATGACTTGGGAAAGGTAAGGGGATAATGTTTAGCACTCCCAGTTAGGATTGCTTATTGGTCAGGAACATTATCAGTTGATGATGCAGAAATTTTTCATCTTGCTTTTCTGAAACATTTTGAATTAACCTGTAGCTGAAAATAGACTGGCACACAGGCTTCTCCAAATTACTTTGTCAGTTAAATGTTCTAACACCTGTGAAGGAAGAGCATTACTTATAAGTCTCATGTTAGAGCTTACAGGATGTAACTAATTCAAAGTCATATTCTGTAGTAAGCCTAGAACAGATTTAGGGATATGAAGCTGGATTTGGGATTAGTTACAGCAAAGTCTTTTAACTCGGAGCAGCTGACTGTCAGAAAAATGCCTTGTCATTCTGAATGCTGATTTGCACCAGAGTGGAATATTTTTATGTTGGCCATATCTGAGTTATTTGTGAAGTGTTCAGTAAAACAAGAACTTCGGTGCAAATTGCTATTAATAAGCATAAAAAGTTTAATGAAAAGACTGGAAAAAGTAAAGTAGTTAGTTTTCCTGTCTGCCTTTTACATCACTTTCCATCTCTGTTTAAGAGTATTGCACACTATGTGCAGAGTGTGTCCTTGTGTGACTGCATTGATGACCTGGGACTTTCTCTTGTCTTTTTGAAATCAGTGAGCCAGACATTGCCTTGTAGTACCAGCTAGTATTTTTAATATTACTTTTTAAAATAATGTAGGAGTTGGTCCATTTTGAAGAATGATTTAATTTGAATAGATTTTCAAGAGTCATGGCTAAAACCTCTGAAAAATTAGGTCAGTTACATTTGATTTAAATAAAGTGAACACTTAGAAACATCTTGAAGTGATGCACAGTTTTTCTTGTTGCATAATACCATATCTCTGGTGATAATAATAATGGTAGTATTTTAAGGCTGGCAGTAGGGCTGCTTGTTTAAGCGTAGTGGCCTTTGCAGTGTGTGGTTTGTGGTGTGATTTTTTGTGGTTTTTTTTTGTTTTGTTTTGTTTAAAATGGATCCCAATTTTGTGTATTACACTGGGCAGAAAATGAAGGGTTGTGTGTGGAATAGGCCTTAATCATGTATGTGCTGAAACTTGGTAAGACACAAATGTAACTTACTATTGTACTATTTCTTTGGTGATTTACTAGTTCCTTGGGTTTTGTGTGGAAATACAGTCAGCTTTTTCATGCTTTTAATGTTTTGAATTTATAAGTTAGTCTAAATTTACCAATTAAAGTCAGCACATGTGGAGCTTAATTGACACTTCTCAGATTCAGCCTCATATTGTCAATGTAAAGTTTCTGGCATATATGATATGATTGTGTAATCATGCTGGTGTACAGTTTTGTGCTAATTACCTAATCTCTGTAAAATTTCCCCACCACAATGAGCATAACTCACTGCCTTACCAGGGTATTGTGAAGGTTTGTCACTTGTGTTACTTGCTACTTAATGTCTTCTGTTTTCAAATCAATCTTAAAGAAAACATCAGGCTCTAATGAAACAAGAAATGGAAACTATTTTGTTGAGACAGAAGCAACTGGAGGAAACAAATCGTCAGTTAAGGGAGAGGGCTGGAGATATCCGTCGTAGTTTGCGAGACTTGGAGTTGACAGATGATTGCTATAAGCAGCTAAAGTTACTTCCTGAAGACCAGCTTTCTATCCCTGAATATGTTTCTGTGAGTATTGAGTTTTGTATTGGTTTAAAATATAGCAGTATCCTGGGTTTGCCTAGGATGGAGTTAACTTTCTTCATAGCAGCCTGAATCTTCTTGTGCTTGCTTTGTGCTTGGCTAAAAACAGTGTTGGCAACACACCAGTGTTACAGCTATTGCTGGACAGTGCTTGTACAGCATCAAGGCTTACTCTTCTTCCCCTCTCCCCAGCAAGCAAGGGGTATTCATGAGCTTGAGAGGGGACACAGCTGAATAGCTGGCATGAATCAGCCAAAGGAATATTCCATGCCATCTAAGGTCATGCTCAGCAATATAAACGGGAAATAGAGGAAGAAAGATGAGGTGGGGGGTGGCTTCCAAGGTGGTTATTGCTCAGAGACTGGCTGGGCATCAGTCTGCTTGCAAGAGGTGGTGACTGTATTTGCATGGCCATTGGAATAATCTCCCCAGGGAAGTGGTGGACTCCCCAGTGTTGGACACTTGTAATTCAGCTGGACCGGGTGCTCAGACATCTAGTCTAGGTTATGCTTTGCCAAGAAAGTTTGGACCAGATGATCCATGAGGTCCCTTCCAACCACTATTCTATGATTATCTCTCTTTCCTTCACTAATTAAACTGTTGAGAAAACTCAACACCTGAGTTTCCTTGCTTTTGTTCTTCACACTCCTGTGTCCTGCTCCCACTGGAGGCAGCCAGTGAGCAGCCAATATGGGTGCTTGGCTGCTGCTCAGGGTCAACCCACCACAAGCTGTAAATTGCTTCTGTTTAGAATTAAAGGTATTTGCATATAGTGGAAGCCAGCCTATACTCCTAAATTCTTACTCTTCCCCAGCTAGAAATGAGGGAACTTCAGAGACAGGTGTGCTTTTGGATCTGTCTGTTACAACAGGATTCCAGTAAAGAGGGGAACCTTTTAAGTCCAGTCTCTGATGTCTTGAAAGGATTGGAATTGCTGACATATTTTAAGCAGGTTAAGCAGACGAGGTGTTACAGTTACATGGTGGGTACACGCTGATGATCTAAAACACAGCAGGCTGAAAAAAGTAATTTGAAACTCGGCTTGCTAGAGCCGGAAGTCAAGGTGGCTGTTGCAGACATCTCTTACCTTTCCTTCATGTTTTCCATCTGTCCATTTCCTGTCTGACTAAATGCAGGAAATAAAGTGTACCTTAAAGACTACTGTAAGACCCATTTTCTTGATTTAAGAAGTTTTTTAATTGTGGCTTATGGGTAGATAGAAGGGCAGGGGGATTTCTGGTTGCAATAAAAAGACAGTGCCTTCACAGACTGTGGAATATGTCCAGACTATCCTGGCTCACTTCTGGAAATGAAGAGGATTTGGACATACAAACCTTAATCCACCAAAGTATTAGCATTTTACTTATTTATAGAGCTAGTTATTAAAGAAGCTGTAAATAATACAATTTAAAAAGCTTAGTGGATTTGTTGAGGTATAAATGCTGCATGAATGAGTTCTCTTGCTGGATGAAAGTAATGGTATACTGTGCTCTAAAATATGTACAGAGAAGCCTAACTTGTCATTCTTATCTTAAGGATGTGCTTGGAAACATCTTCTCAAAAGTTCTAAAACTTGGACTTTTGAAAGTACTGGGAAAATTTTAAGGCTCTGTACGAATAACAAGATCACCTAGCTGGAGCCTCTTAGGTCGCTACCCCTAGTTGCCTACTGTACCCTGCCCTCTGCAGAAGTATTTCAGGGGTTTTGTTGATTCCTGCAACACCATGGTTGAGAAAGCAAATTTTAAACGCAAACTGAAATCTCTGTCAGCTTGCTTGAAATTGGTATGCTGGAAGCTCCAGTTCTTTGGAGCTGATTGGCAGTCAGTACAAAAGAATGTGTAGCTGGGAAGGAGAAATACAAGGCGTTAGTAACCTTGCCAGCTGCTTTAAGTGTAGGTGTCACAGCACAGATTGCTTAGACTGTATTTGTGAATAGAAGAGTACTCTAAAAAGGATGTGAAGCGGGAGAGGCAACAGCCACCTTCTACCTCTAATCTACCTTTCTTTTCCTCTTGCATTCAACTGGTAAATTCTACTTTTGTCTGTGACAGAAACTCCCCTACCTACGTGTTCAGTGAAGTCATTTTCTTTACATATATGTCACTTTCTTTGGAAAGGACTGAAGAAGTCCTTTTTTGGTCAAACCAATTTTTTTTTTTTTTTCGTGAGAAGACACTGTAGTGAAGACATAAACAGTGTCGTCTTGTAGTAAGATGCTGTTTTCTGCTTCTCCCAACTTATTTTGGCAACAGGATCAGCATGAACATGAGAGTATCAGTTAAGCTTGGTGATTATCACTACTTTGAGTTGTTCAGCTGTAACAGATGCTGAGAAGCTACAGAACAGTTTTGTATATCCTGTGTATGCATCCATCTGGTTTCAGAAAGCTAGTAAAAGGATGTTGAAGGGACTAAGTAATTTTTCTGATGCTGTTTTCTGCTTTACTCGCCTAAGGAGGAATTGTGCATTTCTCAGGCAGATAAAATCTCCGACCCCAGATCTATGGGCAGACTAACAGTATAGTGCATTGATATGAGAATAAAATTCTCCTTGGTGAGAAAGTTTTGCTTAAAGAAGAGTTGAGCAAGAAATTTCCAGACTTTTTTCTGTTTATCCATTATAAAATACTGCTTTACAATTCTCCAGGATAGAAGCAATTGTATATATAATTCTTACACTTTATTTGAAACCTGATATAATGGAAAAACAGCAGGAAGTGTTTAAATACACATTTTGTATATAGAGATATTGCAACATAGACAAACAGGACATAGAATTAAAACAAATGAGATGTTTTTTCACTGTTCTGCCACAAAGGGGTGCAATAGTGACACGATAGAGCAAAAACTAGGCAATGTTTAATGTTAATCATAGAATAATAGAATAGTTAGGGTTGGAAAGGACCTTAAGATCATCAAGTTCCAACCCCTCTGCCATGGGCAGGGACACCTCTCACTAAACCGTGTCGCCCAGGGCTCTGGTTCTGTCCAACCCGGCCTTGAACACTGCCAAGGATGGAGCATTCACAGCCTCCTTGGGCAACCCATTCCTGTACCTCACCACCCTCACAGTAAAGAACTTCTTCCTTATGTCTAACCTAAACTTCCTCTGTTTAAGTTAATCATAGAATAATTTGGGTTGGAAGAGACCTTAGAGATAATCTAGTTCCAATAATGATGTTTTAAGCATCTTTCTCTTAAAAATCACACTTTTTTTTAACTTGTATGTAAAAATTTAGAGGTTTTTTTACTAAGAATGATTTTGTTAGAAACAGAAAAATTTTAAAGCACTCCAGGTCATTGAACTGGTGCTTGGCAGCTGAATCACTTAATTTGTTCAGTAAAGTGAGCCTTTGTGTACTCATAAAAATTTTTCATCAAGTTGTTTAAAAATGGAATCTGTGAATTCTGTTTGATCCAATTTCAATCGCTATGTTTTTCAGTGGCCTCATTTTACTAACTACAGCTCATTTGCCCTTTGTTTAAGAAGGCAGTAACTAATGAAACTACTTTAACATGACTTCATTTAACAGGAGCCAACTTCCTCATCCTCTGTGCCCACCCATTTTTAGGTTAAGCTTTGTTTTCTATAAAAAGTGGTGGGCACATGTTAAGAACTTTTTAAAAATTGCCTGGAAAGTGGTGACCTTTTCCTTACAGCACATGAATATAAATTTGTATTTTTTAAGATATGCAGTTATTTCTGAAATCCCATTAGAATAATCTTTGTTGCTGCTATATTAACTTGACAAGAGGTAATATGTGTGATTTGACTGCTGAGTTACATGAATGCTTATTTGCCATCAAGCAAGTTAAGTAACAGTTGACTTCTGCTACAACCTTCCCCTCATGTCTGCATTAATTTGCACTTTCTTATTACCATAGATTGATGTTTTCTCAGGAGGGCTGTGCAGATAGATACACCTATCTTGATACCTATATCCCATGAAATCCTAGTTTGATACTGGATAATCTATTTTAAGATTGTTGCAGTTTGGGAAGTAAATGTGGCATGATGGCATAAGTTAGGTTTCCTAAGGAAATCACAATAAAAAGACAAGAACTTAAGGGAAAAAGTAGTGTGGTTTAAAAAACCCACAGTGTTTTAAATAGTCATCAATTAGAGACAGTCAAGGTTATTTTTAAAGAAAATAATATAATATTTTTTTGGGGGAGGGAAGAGGATTTGATTAAAAATCAGTTGCTTGATTTCAGATGTAGTTGGACAAGTTCTTAAAGAGTCCACATAGGCGCAAACTAGTCAGTGGAAGCTATAGAGAAGAGACAGAAAAATTACTGCTTTGAAGTAGCTGAAGCCTGATGTAGTAGTTTGGAAGTTAGAAAGAAGCCACAAAGCTATCTTTGCTGTTTTGTTTTCATGCAAGCCAATTAGAAACAATGGGATTTCACAGATGGACAGGAAAAAACTCCTTGAATATTGGCATAATGCAAGAAAAAAAAGTAATGAAGCAGTACAATAAAGCAATATTATGCACTTCACTGCTCGGAATAGAAAATTTCTGTTTTCTAGTTTTAGCTGCTGTAGCATCTGATGGTTCGACTTGTCATTTGGAATTTTCAGAACATGAACAAAAAAGTGATCCTACCTTATTTCTTTTTAAAATTAACTGTAGTTTAAAATGTCCTTCATTTTCTTCATTTTGTGTGTAAACTTAGACATAACAAACTGAGAATCCCTTCTTACCATATTAAAAATAACAGCTGTATTTTGGGAAAGCATTCATTTTTTTTTTTTTATAAGAAGTTGCTTCAGATTTATAGCATATGTCTTAGTTTAGCTTATGCTTGTTTTGCATCTGAAGGTAAGGCTGAAAAGTGGAGCTCTCTTGTTGAGTGCAACAGATTCAAGCAACTGCAGCTTTTAACAAGCACAATATTTGGAAAAACTTGAAAACAAAAAAAAGAAAATGTCACTTTTTCTGCCTTACTATTAGTCTTCCAGTCATGTTACACATTTGCTTTGTTGTCTAAAGCAAACTACACCTATATTTACATCACAAATTTCCATGGCTTCTGTGGTTCTATGGTATGCTGTCAATTATGTGGAATATACCTGGAACTTTTCTTTGTCTTCTGTTGTTTACAGGTAGTAAAACAGACTTGTCTTCTGCATGGAAGTGTAGTACAGCTTGCTCTTGAGTTCTGTCTGTGCTTTCTTGCTTGTATTTCTTCTTTAATTGCATATCAAACAAAACATTCATGATAGAGGGGTATGGAGAAGCTTTTGCATGAAAATAATGCTTAATTATCTGTTCTTTGCTTTTCATCCCACAAAACAAACATTATAAGGTATCAGGTTAATCTAGGAGTAATATCTGTGTACGTGTGTGTGGGTGTATATCAAAAAAGCTCTTTCTTCTTTGTCTCTTTTGTCTTTTTGTTTTAGGGGTTTGGGATTTGTTTTTTACTGCTGGTTTATGGTTTAGTACTGTGTTTTTCTAGTATTTTTTCTTGTTCAGTACAAATGTTCTGGAAGAGTTTATGGATCTGAGATTTACTTGTCTGAGACTATGCCTGTGAGTGGATTGGGGGAAGAGAGAGGAGTATCTGTTACAGGATTGTTATTATTTATTTTTTTTCATCCCTTTACAAGGATTTTTTTTTTTCAGTGTTAATTTAGCAGGGCAGATTCTGTCAGAGGCATAGTTGCATGATGCAGCTGAACCCATGCAGCAGCCTGTCACTGCTGAAAGTGTGTGGGGGGGTGTGTCATGGCTTTTCGTGGTCATGGGCTGTTCTGCTTCCTGTGCTTGCTCTCGCATTTTGATCCAGATTCAGCACACTGAACTGGCAGAAAAGAGCTAATCTCTCCCCACTTCTACACACCCCATTAAAATTTATATTGGCTTGGGGAAAGTTAGCAAGTCACGTTGGTTTATTGCTAAATAGGCTTACTTTCTTTTTTTCTTTTTTCTTTTTTTTGCAATATTAATCAAATAGGCCCTAGGATTGGCACAAGTAAGAGGGAGGGAACATGTGGTCCCTTAGCAGCTCTGCATTTTAATCAGGCAGCCTGAGAGCTGCCTTAGTTGAACAGACATGTATATCTTTACCTTTATTCCTCCTTTTTTATTTAGTGCCAAACACAAACTGATTATTTCTTTGCTGCTGCTGTTAGTGTCTTAAAGAAAAACACTGTCTTTGCTTTAACATTTCCCTAGCCTCCGCCAGGTTCCTTGTTTATGCTAGAAATTATTTGGTGAATTATTGCCATAAAATGTTAAGCTGGGGTCTGTACTGTTGTTTTTGTGGGGCTTTTTTTGTTTGTTTTTTTTTTTTGTTTTTGTTTGTTTGTTTTTTAACTGTGGCTTTGCGATTGCAGTTTTGCTAGTCTCAATTTTGAATATATATCTTGTTTTTCTAGATTCTATTCTATGAAGTAGTCCATTCCTTACAAAAAGAGTTAAGTGATCTACAGATGAAAAAAGAGAGCCTAACAGAAGAACTACGCGGGTACAAATCGCAACTGAAGTGTCTGACAGAGGTCTGTGAATCATAATTATTTCAATTAAGAAAATGTGTAAATATATTGCAAAAACCTCATTTTCCAAATCATTATTGATGTATGAGATATAAAAGAGGGTTCTTTTGCTGTATAATAATTAGTGGGGGTAGGAGGGCTGTGGTGAGAGGGAAAGGAGAAGCAAGCTACAGATGCCCTTATATAACAGCTAATTTTGCATTATAGCTACTCTGCAAAATTTGCTCATTAGAATGTTAAGGATAGACTCTTACCAGCTATGTTGTGCTTTCTGAGGGCAAGGTTCAGGTCAGGGAAACTGAGCCAAGAGATCCATCCAGAAGTAGATAGGGAATGATTGTTCAGTGTATAGTTTTCGAGATGGTGATGTCTTAGTAATTTGCCTCACCTTTAGTTTTAGATAATCTAAAAATGCGTTTTTAAAGAATTCTTTGGAGTTGCCTCTTCTCTTCTGCTTTTCAACTTTTATATTTGAATTTCCTATTTATTTCTATACTAAAGAAAAAGATAATTTCAGGTATGTTATAAATGCCAGAAATAGAGAAACAAATTATCTAAATATATTTATTTTTTTATTTGCAAAGAGCAAAGGAGCTGAAACAGTATATGAAGAATGTATTTTTGAAGGTATTTATGAACATTTATAATATTCTTAGTATGTATACAACTAGGAAGATTTGTATTTTACCTTAGTTCTGCATAAATCTGGAATTGTGATAAGACAGCTTCAGGTACCTAGTGTGTATTTATCCAAGTTGTGGCCAGCAGGCACTTGAATGCCACTGTCAGTTTGCTACTTCTGACCTTATTCTTTAGTTACCACTTTTTTTTCTTTTTTTTTTTTTTTTTTGTCTTCAGAATTAACTTATGGAATAATCAGCTGTAAAGAGTTATTAATTGTACAGGATCATCTTTGTGAAATTCATATAATTTTCATTTCTCTTTTTGATTGAATTAAAAGTAGCCAATAAAATTTGGGCACTTATGTGCTTCACCATTATTTTGTAATCATCTCTAGCCATAACTTAAATTAACTGATTTACCTGAGCATTCATTTTGCTTCATTGTACATTTAATGTGCTTTGATTGAATAAAATTCTACAGAAGGATTTCAGCCTTCTGAGATTTGACTGACATCTGTGTTAATTTTTGATACGGCAGCTTAACAGGATAGTAGATAACAATAATTAAAGTTTTGCTAGAAACAATTTTCTTGGTATACTGACCTTTCTTTAATATAGAAATATGTAATTTTGTTCTTTTTATACCACATGCTGGCAATATCCACCTTTCCTACTGATTTTATTTTTCCAAGTTTGAAGTTTACTAGGCTTTCGATGTTGGTGAAAAAGCACTAGAATGTTGCCTGTGTTGAACTGAGGTGGTTATTTGAATGCTTATACCCTGTTTCCATAATCATGCTTAAAATGAGAGACAATTACTAAGAATGAATACCTCGTTTAAATGGAAAAACCCAAGCCAAAACCAAAGGAAGATATCCAGTTGCTGAAATGTAACAAGTTAAAAAAAAAATAAAAGGGCTTACAGTTGTTAATAAAAATTACTCCTTAGGATTCTTAGGTTTCGGGTAAGTTCACTTAGTACAGTTTTTCCATATATACACTCCCCCAAACTCAAGTCTTTACCTTATCCGTTATGCAGAGGTGGTGTGTATGTGACCTGAGATGAGGTATTTTATGTGCAGAGAGACTTAAGTCTCTGGTTTTCTTCTGACAAGTTCAGATTTGACCTAGTGACTTGATGAGTGTCAATATAACAAGGTACCTCAGGCTGTTTCAGGTAGTAAGGAGCATCACCAATATGTGAGGGTACTTCAGAATCTCTAATGTACTTAATACACTAAAACTAATGTACGTATGCATCTCTTGCAGTTTATGAAGAAGTGTTTTCAAGGTGTACTCTCAGGGTAACTTACTTATTTGAGTTCCTTAAATAAGGTCAGGCTTTATTGCAAGGAATTTATCAGTAGGAAATAAAGTACAGTTTTATTCAGAGCCTTAAGCTCTTATACTCTTCTTTTACTGCTTTTGTGATACTCCAATTATTCTTTATTACCAGATACATGAAACACAGTTGCTGAAGCTTCTTTCCTGTTTTTAAGGAGCTTACACTCTTCATATCCTTTCTCTGATTTGCCATCCAGTATTCCTTAAGTTTTCTCCAACAGTTGCAATATTTCTGTTCTCTACATTATTTATTAACAATGTGTCTCTTCTGGGTTTAAAAGTTCATTAGGAAACTACTGATACAGATATTTGAGATGCAGTCATCACTGAAGTTAAGACAATCTATTACTTTTTTTCTCTTTTTTTTTTTTTTCCCTTCCCTCTGTGAGAATAAACCACTTCCTACAATAAGCATTTTTTTTTCCTACTGTTGCACATCATTAACAAACTCCCTAATGAGTTTCAACATGTTTTTTCTTCTTTGTGGAATATAGAAAGGAACTAAAATACGTGCTTAGCCCAATTTTTTTTAAGAAGTACTAATGTCTTGGAGCTTTTCTGCTTGTTCATGCCTGAGGGACTAGGTTTGAGTAAGTTTCATATGTGTAGATATTCACCTAGAAATAAACTAGTGGGAAATACAAGACAATTGGGTATAGACTTGGGAGAGTCTATCTAGCCAACAGAGAACTGAAAAAATTTAAAGGAAAATTCAAACTTGTCTAGTATGCAAAGCCAGTTCTAGGAAAATTTAAATGTGAAATAAATTCATCAAATAAGACAACCATTGCCTAGTATCAGCTATGTTATTTTGTGACAGGATGGCTGTAGTCCTTTAATTTGGTCAAAGGAAATGAGCTCTAATTTCACTGTTCTTCTGTTCATACTCCAAAACAAGGCACATTATTTTTTTTTCTTTGCTCGTGAGCCCTTAGTGTTTTGTGAGAAGGCAAAGCTGCACAGTTCAATTGTCTGGATGCTATTAAGATGAGCCAGTATGTCTGAGTACTGGTTATATAAAACAAGGTCTTTGAACCCACCAAATCTTTTTTTGCTATATGCCGCCTTTTTTGTTTGTTTGTTTTTTGGGGGGTGAGGGGAGCACCCACCAAGAGAAACTTGTTCTCGGCACAACAGACCTCACCTGGCACGAAAATGGGTGCAGTTGCCTGGCATTGTGGCCTCTTAGCCAACTGAGTTTATAAGTATCCAGCTGTATGAGCTAGAAAGCTTGGTTCTCTAAAAATTGAATTGTCATTGTAGCCTTGTAGAAACCAAGTTTCTAAGATTTGACAAATCCTCATGTTCCTGTCTCTAGGCCATTCATTAATTCATTTGTAGTAGGCAAAAGTGCTGACATCAGGACATGAAAGACATCTTCCAAATCTTCATCACCTGTATTTGTATTCTAGGTATATGAATTTATCTTTCATTTATTCAGAAGTGGCAAAAGGTCCTAACTGTTTATCAGCCTCTGTCAGCACTTATTTAATTCTTAGTATCCCAAGATTAAGACCACTAAAACTTTACAACTTGGTAACAAAGTTCTCTTGTTGATTGTCTGTTGCTGCTCTGAGTTAGCATTTAATCAAAGCCTGCTGAATCTGTAACACAGACTCAGTAGGGTGGGGAGCTGTTTCTGACAACTGGTAGCAGAGAACATCGTGAAGACTGATTTCTAGCACTGGAACATAATCTGATAAACACAGCTAGTGTGAAAAAATCTCTGTCACCACTTTCTGTTTTTAAAGTGGTCAGGCTAAGTGGTTCTGCAGTACTACCACAGAGTTAATGGTGCTGTATACCCAGTGATTCCATCTGTAATTTAGACCAGTGTGGTCCTCTTTTTCTAGGTGCAGCAGCAACAGACTGGGGAGGAGTCAGTGGAATGGGTAGAAGCCATGTTCTTGTATTGCAGTGCTGACTGATCTGTTATCAAATCATAGCCCTTCCAACCCGTTTGATTTGATTCTATTAACACACCACACCCCAGTCCAGCTGTAGTGTTGTATTACCAGGAGCTTCCCAGAAAGAAAACCAGCTTCTGATGTGTGCGTTCCCATGCTGAATATCGGTGTACTATTTTCAGAGTTGTTTGCTTCCAAAGTGGTTAGAACCTTCTCTCAAACAGATGTAATTTACTGCTTGTGTTTCTCTCAAGACTGGGAGAATGTCTATGAAGGAAATTCTGCTTTTCTTTGTAGGCCTAGAAGATTAAGTATTGCTTTCTTCTCTGGCTATGACTTTCTTGGCAGTGTTTTCCTGGAATTTGATCTTGATACAGTTTTAGCAAGTCTTTCTTTTTTTTTTTTTTTTTTTTTTTTTCTCCTGTAACGTGTTTAAGACTTGCAGTCAAATTTATAGTATGACAGTTAAAAGCTATGGTTAGCCTACAGACAAAGCTGGATGTATGTAAGACAAGGATTCTTTCCAAGAGCTTGTCTCTGAATCAGGATTAGTAGCTGTCAGGTTTAGCTAGGCATACCTAACAGTTTTCTCTGTGATAATGTTTCCCAGCTGGAGGAAAAATATTTCTATGGTCTTCAAAGAACGCACTAAGCTATTGCTCAAAGGATCAGTCACCACTAGATGTATCTGAATGTTGTAAAATTGAAAGTACCATTGCTAGTGACAAGGGAGTGCCCTATCTAGAGTCCTTGACAGATTACCAATTTCGTATCGGCATGCTGGAAAAGATGTCCTATTTGTCCAGTTATGTGTAACTTCTTCCTGATATTTGGGCTGTTGTAATTCAAATAAATAATGTATTGACCAATAATTTTTGAATACATACTGTGCACGTGCACCAGTCCATGGGTCCTGATGAGATCCATCTGTGGGTCCTGAAGGAGCTGGCAAATGAAGTTGCAAAGCCATTGGCCATCATATTTGAAAAATCATGGCAGTCAGGTGAAGTTCTCAACGACTGGAAAAAGGGAAATATAACCCCCATTTTCAAGAAGGGGAAAATGGATGACCTGGGGAATTACAGACCAGTCAGTCTCACCTCTGTGCCTGGCAAAATCTTGGAGCAGA